GGCTACGTCAAGATAATGGAGGAACTGATAATGTTGAATGAAGTAAATCCTATTCCTCCTTCAACAAACAAATTCAGGATATCGAGCTCAAAGATAGGACAGGAGGATGCGACCCCATTATCTTCTGGTAAATCTACAATAACCTATCAATGTACACTGATATCCTGATGATAACTATTATTGAAACAATATCAACTTAAACCAAAGTAGAGATGCTTCAAGTTAAGGTTTGCATAGGTAAACCTTGAAAGAAAACTTTATTCTGAAGGAAAACAATGGCAAAATAAGCTCATACGGGAGCTTTTCATAGAGTGACGGCAAAACCATTTTGAGGATGCTGCTTTTGATGGACATACTCCACACCTCTGATCCTGATTTCTCAGGCAGCACCACGATTTTAGCAAAACACCATACCAACCCCAAACCATCTTTTCCATTGCACCAAATTCATTATCAAGCTTTCTTCCATATCATCCCATATCTTAATGACACTTTCTCAGCTCCTTGAGACCAAGATGAGCTGGGGAAGAAAGCCCTGATAAAAGTACAAATCATCAACATGGAAAATGCTTAATTATTTCCGCACTGTATTTCCATGAAGTTTAATTCACTGAAGGACTGCAGACAATCGAGAGACCATAAGGAACCACAGTCGCTGGCCCCTAGCGTACTCCTTCATTAGCCCCCTGAACCTCCTCATGAAGGCAAGTTCCAACTCCATGCCGTAGCGGTGGAGGTTGGAGCAGCCCCATCCTTCAATTTTCGGGGGTACCACATTTTCTGCGTATGGCTAATCCTAAAAGATGGGTCCTGTGGAGAACAGGCCAGATCTCGAGCCCTGATAGGGCTCTATCTTTCAACTTTATCTATGTGGCCACCTGATACATATGAGAGTCCGCCCACCATGCTTAGACATTCCTATTGCACTAAAATATCAGTTTGCACAAAGACTGGCCTAATACAAAGAATTATTTGCCCAGTGAAATCACCAACTTGATTGAGAGCATACATAGACAACATCACATATACTTACTGTCCTCAGCAACCCAACAACTATTGGAAGAAGACGCTCACGGAAATTAGACGTTTCTTCATCATCCAACTTAACCTGTCAAGCAGTATGCAATATTCATCACTATAGAGAAAGAAGCATCGACCAAACAAAGCAATAGTAGGAAAAATTCAACAGGATATGAGAAAGCAAAAGAAGTATTCCAACAACACACAACTTGGAATACGCTGTGTTAAAAAATATCCTCCTCAAGTATGAAATCTTGGCTCTAAGTTAAGACAAAATTCCTACATTACAAAGAACCTTAATGATAATGAATGTCTACAAGTCACGAGACATGCATGAAACTGATGAAAAGATTTTTTATACAAAAATTATAAAAAGATTTAAATAACCCATTCTTTGTCACATAGGGAAATCAACTAAACCTGATCAAACTCACCTCATCGACTTTACCATTCGTTGCGCTGGAAGCCAAAGATTTGGCTTTGGACAAAATTATCACATCTGTATTTCCAGCATCATGTATTGAAGCACGCAAGAATTCGGCAGAAAGAATGCTGCAAAGGTGAAGGGCACAGGTTAGATAAAGCCAAAGAAGCAAGAGTACTACATTCATTTGCTAAGCAGTATGGCCTTAATATGCCTAACTTATATAAAGCATAAACCATACTGATCACAATAAAGTATTTAGAGGGGTGGTTATAAAATAAAGGCTGATTCAGAGTAAAGAATGCAGCCAAATTGTAGGATCACAACGCAAAAATATTTACTTTATGAATCTATTTGCAAGAAATTTACCTGTTCACAGAATCTATTGAAGCAGTAACATGATCGCGAAGGTGACGGAAACAATGAAGACCAGTTAGTTCATCTCCATCCTGGCATAGATGTGGGATCATTTATGTCTTTCCACAATCAAGTACCACAAGAAGAGGAAGGAGCAAAAATTCAAAGAGAAACAAAATTTGGACCAGGAAATGGTTACCCTTCAAAAGCAAACTCCACAAGAATCTTACAGGCTCAATAGAGTTACCAAATAAATGACTATGAACTACTGAAAGCTTACCAACAAATGCTGCAAATCGTCAGTAACATCCAAAGCACCAGCACAATCTCCTGATGCAACAAGCTGCAAGACAAAGGCATGAAATGCATTGCATTTCGGACAATCAACAAGATAACTTTATAAAATTTTCACAGCGCAGGAGGCTGCCACTCAAGACCCTGTTTTGCAAACCGAGGAATGAATGATGATAGACTTAGACAAACAGTGTCCCCCTAGAATAACACATACTATAACATATTTGTAATGCAGGTCAGAAGCATAAAAAGAATTACCAATTTAAGGGCAGAAAGCGCCTGGTTAACATATAGTATAACTCTCAACTTGTGTTGTAAAGCTAACATATTGCCCCTGGTGCCATTCAAATCCTGAAGTTCCCTGGCGGACTCTACTAAATCCTTATCCAGAAGTCTTATGGTCTCCTTCAACTCCCGAATCCGGCTACAACCTTCCACTATTCTCACATTAAGATCCTGCAACTCTCCCTGCGCCTCAAAGAAGGAATTAGACCGGAGCGAAATCTCCTTCACCAAGTGCAATTCCACCACATCCAAGTAATGAGACAGCTTCTCCTGCAAGACCAAGTTCTCCGAGACATTGGAGAAAGGGCAGGCGGCTCGGAAAGTTGGCCCATCTTCCAAAGCGAAATCCTCTTTGAAGTAGAGAGCCGGAACCTCCCTCAAACACGCTACGAGCGCCTCCCCTTGCCCCCCAATGCTCTCCAATTCAAGACTCTCTTCTTTGGTGGTGTGGTTCCTAATGTCCTCGAATCGGTAGTAGAACTCGGATATAGAAGACAAGTAGCTCTGGAAGTCGGATCTCGACACGTCTGAAGCCGCCTTGCTGGATATCAATGGCGTGAATTCCGGCGGCGCTACGGCAGTGGAAGAGGAGGGCCACCAGCCCACCCAGGGCGCATCGGTGCCGTAAACGCCAGACTTGCCGACGTGCGGATTGTTGAGGATTGAAGAGAGGCTCTGGCTGCTAGCATCGGACAGTGAATTGGTCAGTGAGGAATTGGTTCTAGGGACGGCGAAGGACGAAGTTGTGGCCGTCGACGAGTCGGCCAGTGACGACCTTCCCGGAAGGGAAGGCTGCGAATCCATGTATTTTCACGATATGGCAACCATATGAATTCAAATTTCCCCAGAATACCAAGTTCTGGGAAGAGAGTGGAGATTAAGCTCCCACTGAGCCAGATAAACCCTAGATGGATTGAGAAGGGGAATTGTAGTCGACAATTCAGGTGATCCAATGATATCAGAGATTGAATCGACGACAAGGATCGAAGCAGATCTTACACAGGGAAGCCAATAGATAATGGAAAGGATTGCTTTTCTTTTCCTTAGCTTGCTTCGAAATCCAGAATGCAGTGACAAAGCTTCTGAGCGAAGTGCTAATGAGTCTAGATCTCGCTCGCTGAATATTCTGTTGCCTTGGTCCGATCCTCTTTCTGGTTTTCCGCCTCTCCACTGTCGAAAAAATGAAATATGCTCGCTGGCTGGATCAGCATTCATCAGTGGAAGAGGAATTGTAGCGGGTAGGAAAAAGTGGAGGGAGGAGAGAAAGGCAACAGGCTAGACCGGGCCAATGCTGCTGAGATGGGCCGGGCCAACTAATTTTTTCAGGGTGAACTAAACCGCTTATGAAAGACTTTGACGTTGAATTTAATAAAAATTTGTTCAATTAAGAAAAATTTGAGTTTTTTTAGCGAACCGAGTTTGAGTTATTTGGATGGAGTATTTGTATGAGTTATTTGGGTTCAAATAACTCAATGAGTTATTTGGACGCAAATAACTCAATGAGTTATTTGGACGCAAATAACTCGTTTGGCAGCGTTTTAGTGAAATGAGTTATTTGGACAGTGATTTATTTACAAATAACTCAAAACGAGTTATTTGAAATAACTTATACTCATGTGTTATTTCGAAATAACTCGTTTTATCACTCTGCTTTTACCAAATACCACATGTCAAATACCACATTTGCATGGTTCAACCAAACGAGATACTTTATTTCAATTACCACTAAAATAACACTGAAATACCACATGAGCAATAAATGAGTTATTTGACTCTACAAATACCACATTGACAATTAACCCATCCAAACGATCTCTAAAGTTATTCAGCTCGTGATACTTGTAAGCCAACTTAACTAGGTGATTTGTCGAGCTCAACTCATAAACTCTCTTATTTTGAGCTCATGAGATGTCTCATATATGACATAGATTAGTTAATTTTATGTATCATGTAATGACATATATATATTAAGATTTGATTTATAAAATATCATAGAGTTGAGCTCGAGTCGAACTCCTGATCTTAATGATGAGTCAAATAGGTTTGAGCTAATTCGAGCTCGACTCAACTCAGCTCGTTTATAAATGAGCCAAACTAGAGCTCAGCTCATTTATTAACGAGCTAAACCTAAAGACAACACAACTCGACTCGATTTATTAACAACTCTAATTTTCACCATCTTTAAAAATTTCACCACGTTTAAGATATGGTTTTTAAATTTAGGTCGATAGCATTGGTTGAAGAGGTTGATAGTCAAGGCCCGTTTAGTAATTTTCTCATATTTTTTGTGCTTTGATTTGGTTTCAACATCAAAGAGTAGGGTGTGGAAAACATAACAGATCGTCTTACAAATTGTGGATCAAACTGGAGAGTTTAGTCTGAATCGTAGATCGTTAAAAGTAATCTAGTTTGGTTCATGATATATGTTATAGAATGTTTTGATCGTTTAGTCCAGTATGGTCTAGACTGTTGTCAACTCCTCAACGAGACCCAAGTCTCAATCGTAATTGTCTGTTAGAAACCGATTTCTTTCAAATTTCTATCTTTATTATTATAATAATTATTAGGATAATTATCAATATCTTATAAACACACAAGATAAGTTTGTTTGCTAAATAAACACAACTAAATCCATATATTTGTTATTGTACATAACATAAACACACCAATAAGCAACCTGAAACCTCATAGAAATCATTTAATTATTAGTTAAGAGTCGAAAATCATGTAAGATCGTTAGGATCAACATTAACATCACTTACACATCATCATCATCCTCATCCTCAACCTTGTAGAATCCTTGTCTATTTGCCCGAGGAATGATATTATTACTCTCTTGATCACTTGAAGTACTTTCTCCATTTAACCATATTTCCTTGATCGCCATCATTTGGCAAAGATTACTCATTGTTTGATGCATTCCCTTCTTAATTGATAAAAGGTTGGGGATAGTGGTGCTGAAGGATTGAGAGATGAATGAAAGCTTGCGATGGAATGAAGATCTGGATAATTTGGTGAGGGTGGTGGGAACAAACTACAAGCTGATTGGGAGGGCGGAATAAATCGTTGATGAAAGAAGTCGGGCGTCAACGTGCGAAAGAGGAAGATACGAGGTAGAGAATGAAAATAAATTGAGGGTCATCTTTTAGGTTAGGGTTGTGTTGTTCATTATGTTGGGTCGGGGGAAGTACACTTGACTCGATTCACGGGCATAACCCGACTTGACTGACCTAATTTTACTGTAATTGATATAAACCTTAAAATCGTACAAATCGTAGATTTTAAGGATTTTAGAGTTTTAAATCGAGATTTTATGGGATTTTATGATTCAAAGATTTTACAATAAAATAATGATCGAAACCTAGAGGTAAGATCGTAACATTTTTAGATTAAAATCGGGATTTTGACTACATTGGGTGCAGCTAATTATGAAGCCATAACTCTCTTAGTCGAACAATTAAGGGTTGCAACTATAAGCTAGGTAGCCTAGCCCTCTTAGTCATTCGGCTAAGGATTGCAACTAAAAGCTAAGAAATCCAGTTCTCTTAACCGATCAACCAAGGATTAGAAAAACCAATCCTCAGAAGTTAATCCAGATGACAAAAGCGACCAATCATGATATTTGACTCTTGTCCTCGTTTGCCTAGGTGGGTGACACAAATTGGCCAAGAAATCCAACTCCTCAAAGCCTCTTACAAAAGGAGATTCTCTCCACCTAGGTCAAAATGACCCAATAATGAGTTAAAGCTAGCAACCCACAATCATTCATGAATAGTACCTCAAATATTATATATAATACCAAAAACACACATAGAATCAAGTTCTTACATCCTAACACATATCTAGACTAGGATTCACAATACCCGAGTGAGAGGGAGCACTACAACATAGCTAGGTAAGGGAATACAACAAAGACGAAAGAAAGAACCATGGTCTGGTGACTATCCTCCTTGTTGCTTGAATCACCCTTGAGAGAAGAAAGTCTTCAACCCTTTAGCTTAGGACAAGCCCAAATCTTCTTCTTCTTCCTTTGGTTCTTTGCTTTCTCTCTCTTAAGAATAAGAAGAAGAAGATCTCTCTTTCACTATAATTCTTCCTCCTTTTAGGGGTTTTCAACTGAAATCCTATAAGGGAACCCTGAAAATCTAAAACCCAACCACATTACAGCTCTCTCCTCTTTTTCCAAACTGCCTTCTATTTATACAACCCGACATGCACTTTCACGCGCGAATGTCATAACCGTGACAATGGAGCTCTAACCGTGACATCGTTCAAAACGTGGGAGACTGCTATCGTTTCTGTCCAACATCACAGTCTCTGGGAAATTGCCATTGTCTGGTGACCGTGACAACCTTTAGGCCCACGAGACGTAAAAATCTTCTGTTTCCAACAATCTTCACTCCCTCTGGTCAATTGTCACGACCTGGAAACCATGACAATCACGTCTAAACCGTGATATATGACTGTTCTTCACTTTTTGGCGCTTTTCGACCCCAATCGTCCCGAAAATCATCCTAGACCCTTAGACATATGCTAGGACCTGAAATGTAACAAAAATAACATAATCTAGCGTAAAATAGGTCGATGGACGATGATTTGCAAAGTCAAACTATCAAGAAATGAGGGATAAAATATGTGTAATTAGCCCCGAATCAATTGAAAAGCAAATCACCTAACCTAACAAACAACAGAGTAATAATGTTCTAACCAAGATTTATTGGATTGGACAGACGAGGCACTCAAGGATGTCGTGTCTCATCTGTTGGTTGAAACTCTACCTCTCTTTCCACAATTTTAGCACTAGTCGAATTTTGCCTACTCATCATAGGACGGGGCGGAAAATATATATTGGAAGAATCTAAATTGTCATTGTTAATTTTTTTATCAATCACTATAGTGTTCTTTTGGGAAGAGTTATATACCTCTAAAATTAGAGTTTCTTTCTAGCTACTACTCAGATTCAATTAGAACTTGCGGGTTGATTGGAAGATAAAAAGTTCCAACTAGCTGACCTAATGAAGCATCCCGAAAGATAAACAAAAGATGACATCAAAATAATGGATTTGTATGTATGCTGATGAGTTTCAGTTCAAAGGAGGATTTGTTGAGGGTTGAACCCTATGCACTAAGAATAAAGAAGCAAAAGCAAAAAATTCAAATATCAGGTTGAAGTCAATAATGTGTCGTGTGTCAAAATTTGTTTAGAGTCCTTGTGTTTTAATTTATTGTATTTGGGTCTTTGAGTTGTTTGTTGAAAGCTTTCAGCTCAAGTAACTAGCTAGCTAGTTGTGCACGTGAGCTATAAATAAGGGATATGTAGAGGTGGCAATTCTCAATCCAATCCACCAATCCAATCCATCAATCCATTAAAAATATCAAACTAATCCAATCCACTTAATTCCAATCCATTTGATCCAAATTCAATTGGATTGGATCATGGATCATTGACAAATTACGGTTTAGTACCTATAAATTTTATTTTTTACATTTTGGTACCTATAACTTAATTTTTTATACGAAAATATCATTGGAAAATTACGTTTTGGTACCTAAAAATTTTCATTATAACATGTTAGTACCTAAACTTTTTATATTTTACATATTGGTCCTTGATTGAGGATGTCATTTGGATTAATAGATAATCCACCAATCCACTTGATCCAATCCATTTGATCCATGGATCTACCAATCCAATCCACCAATCCAATTCAATTGCCACCTTTAGGGATATGTGATCAGGGCTGTTGATGGAGGTCGAGGTTTTTATACAACATTAGATACTTATGTTTTATTGCTCATTTCAATAAAGAATTTGTTAGTTTGTCCTGCTTTTAAGTCTACAGGGGTGGCATTGACATGCGATAAGAGTAAAATTTTGGGAAATGTGAATGGTTTCATGTGAAGAACAAGCTTGGAGATAGAGTTTGAAGATATAGATCAGATTTCTGCATTCTCTCTGTTCTCTATGGAGTAACTTTCCTTCACTTAGGTTTTGAGGAATCCTAGCTATGTTTTCTTGATTGGATGATCGTATGAGTACTCTCTCTTGATTATCTTGAGTTCCTATTCAATCTATGAATGATTTCATGATTCAATTCTGCTTTAATCGAGATTATTGATTCTGCTTTGATTCTATGAGAGGGAATACCTGATTAGCTCAATAGAGCACCATGGATTGTAAGTAGGGGATCGATAACACGATAGTGAGTGGATTCATGTTATGTATTGAGTGAGAACCTCACCCAATAGAGGGAGCCTAAGTTAAAACACCTTGATCAGTTGTTCAAGAGAGGGATACGTCCATATAGGCACCCAACTCAAGAGGGCCTTGATTACTTCCATAGATATTCAAGGTCTGGTCCAGAATTCTTCTTATTGTGAATGAATAGTGAATCAAGTTAGAGAATCAACAATCATTAATCTGGTTAGTGGTACGAAGAATCATAACCTGAGTGAGTACCCAACTTGTAATTAGATTAACTTTTACTGTAGTTTGCTAGAGCTGTTGTAGTTCTTTTATCTAATCTGGTTTGCTAAATAATAAACTGAAGCTGAGTAATAGTAAATCTTGAGACTCGTGGATTCTATATTTATTATTTGTGACACTATAGTGCGATCTTGTCATTGTTTCACTTGGCATCGTCAGGAGTGTAGGTTTAGCGAGTCAAGTTTTTGACGCCATTGTCGGGGACTTTCTAGATTGTTAGGAAATGCAGAAGTTTGTTAATGTAGCTTTTCTTTATGTTGTTTTTTTCTTTTCCACCCTTGCTTTTCACTTGGATGTCTTTGTTTTTGGTTGCGCAGATCTGAAAGATGAATCTCTATGGCTTTTTTGACCAGTGGAGGTACCAACCAACACATGGTTGGTATTACCTCGAGGCTTCATGAGACAACCAGTACGGAGAAGGGTACAGATTCGGATTTAAGGAAGAACAACCGCCCTTCTATAATGCACAACCAGTTCCATGGGCATTTAAAGAACAAAATCCTTATCAAGAAGATTTCTTCCACAACCAGAACGACCATCTGAGCCAGAGTTAGTCGTGGAGGCCTTCACTGGCCATTCTACAAAGCCATGCTACATTTCACATCCAGAATCAAAGAGCAAGTTTGAGATTTTTATTGAGAAGTTTGTTATGGATATGGAAAGATCGTGCTCCCGAGCGGCCTTTAAATCCACTATCCTTCCCTACTCATTCATTCTCTCTTAAATGAAGGAGGTTGTTTAGCACTCAGCGAAGCGAACGCAGTGGATTGAGCATGCTTGTGCACAACTTTCTCAAGATCGCCTTTTTGCTACCATACAAGCATAAGAGGAGGGTGAAGTCTCATACCACGATGACACTATGGAGCACACATAAGTTATCACAGAGAGCTCCTGTGATGATCATGATAAGGAATATCCTGTTGTGACAGACCACACCTTTCCCCATTCCCGCTTTGAAGAGGTGGGAATGGGTGAGGAGATTCAAGCTAATCTTATCAAGAACCTTACATGGAGACTTGCTCTCCAAGTTGTGCTTGAATATGAGGAAGAAAGGGTGAGATGAAAAGTTATGGAGGAGGAAGAAAGCCATGAAGAGGAAGTTTTTGATCTTCCACAAGGGGAGGAACCGAATCCTGAAGAAGTATGGGGGATTGAAGAAGCGATCGGTGTCCAGGATAAGGACAAAGTTATGATGGATGAGGCTTGCACCAGCCATGAGTTTTATGTGACGTCTTCACCAGACTTCGAGGAGCTGCTAAGCAAGGAGCCATTTGCAGTGTCTCTTTTCCAGACCAAGGCCACGCCCCTATAGATCCCTCTTGGTGTGCATGATGGTGGTCAATCAATATTGTCATACATTGTTTTGGCAATGTGATGAGAGCATAGGAGAAGAGAGTTCTCAAGGTGGAGACTGCATGCACATCAAGTACATGAGGCATTTTCATCACTTGTCATAATACATGATCGTGACTTGAGACTCCACTTCATAGACGAGAACCTCAACTTCAAGGAGGTTTTGGTGTGGACCGAAATTTAGGAGCCATCTTCTAGCTCACGACATTCAAGAAGAGCTTGTTGGGAGGCAACCCAATTCATCGGTTTGAATTTCTTTTCCTGTTTCTCTTCGGTTGAGTTTTTTTTTACTTTGATTTTAGAGTAAAAAAACTCAAACTTTGTGAGATTTTGTGTGGTGTTTGTGTTCCATCTACTCTCTCATCCATGGAGTGCACCTCCTGTTCAATCTACCATCGTTCATCACCCGATCCAGTAACTACATTATACCCCCGTTATTTTCTCCATTGAGGATTATGTCGTGATTAAGTGGGAGGGGGCGTTCCATTGTATTTGGGTGTGATGAATGATATAGTTTTGCTTGTCTTGGAGCGTAGTCCATTGTCCAAAATTTTTAAATTTGTGAGCTCCAAGTATATTTGACTTGACTGCATGATCATAGTGGGCATTGTTTAGACTTGTGTTTTGAATCTAGTGGCCTATTGATGTTGTGCATTAGTATGATTGAGATTGCATGTGACCTATGACGATGATTGAGAATTGCAATGAGTTTGTGTCCGTTGTCATTCTTCATTTGATGGCAAAACTGCTAAAAGATGTGTTTGGTTGTTCATTATTCTCGGTTTTCTAGGCATGGAGAGTGTGAAAATTGCATGGGAAATTGAGCATCTAGGTAGCCGTGTGAGACTAGTTCTTGTTCGTTTCTTTCTTGTGTGACTAGTTCTCTCTGCATGATAATAGCTTACACTTTGCATGACATCGAATTGTGATACAACTGATTGGGAAGAGGGAGGCACAGGTTTAGCCCACTGCCAAATTGACTACCTATATCATAACATCCTTACTCAACCCTCGTTGAGTCTTAACATATTCTTTGTTATGATCATTATGTCAAAAGTCAATCCTTGTTCTTCAAGCCCACATTTATTTTATTCCTTTTCAAGGTTTCACATGCTTGGTTTTTGCACACTTTTATGCTTTGTTCTAAAACAAGAAAACAAACGTTTTGGATGAAATCTTTGAAAAATGTGGTTGTTTATCTTTCGCTCTCCAGGATATTTTAAAAGTAAAAAAAGAGAAAAAGAAAAGAATAAGGAGAGCAACCACAAAGCTTGAAATTGATAAGAATAAGAGTCGTTTTCTGGCCCAAAGACTAAGAACTCCTCGATTTTGAAAATTTCCTCCTTTCTTATTTTCTTAAGTCCAGTAAAATTGAAAAAGTAGAGAACGAATTAAGTTGTATTTGGTTTGCTCTGAGATCTTGACCATTAAATTTTGTTCACAACGTTGAAGAATTGCTCCCCATGTCTTGGACCCTAACCAAGTTACAACCCTATTAAAAGCCCTCCTGACAAGTTAGTGGCGACCCAAATATGGAGATTCGATTTCCTTACAAAGTGTTAACGATTGGTTTCGTGACAGAGAGATTCTAGGTTTGAGATTTATAACATGCACATCTTTTGCACAAATTATGGTCATGACCCCACTAGTCGAGTGTTGAGTGATTCATTTTCTATTTTCTAAATCCCGGTGAGGACCTAATTTGCTCGAAATCTTGTTCTGTATGACTTAATCTCTACGTCTGCATAGCTTGGGATGCCAGTTGACTAGTTGCATTTGCAAGCAGTTTTATAAGTCTGATGAGGAGTTGTCACTGTCATGAGGTTGTTGTGTTTAAATGTCATCTATGGTGGTTGCTTTTGTCTCCCTTGTGCTGCTCAAGTATAAATGTTGATGGCCGCTTGTGATTTACGAAAATTTTGTCCCTACTATTATTCGTAAAAACTATGTTTAAACAATTTGGTGCAAGTAAAGAATTAAGTGTCGGGGAATTTTATAAAACCATAGCTTCACATGTTTATTCTCTCATTTCTTAGTCATTTGAGCTTGATTTCCTTGCATCTTCGGCCTATTTTATGCTAGGTTGTGTTCGTTTGTCACATTTGAGGTCCTAGCAAGTAAAGGGAGGCATATGCACAAGTCTTTGGTCAATCGAAGGTCGTTTGGGAACTCAAGAGTGGACCAGAGGAAGAAACACGAGCTGGAGAAACACGATCTTGTTTTGTCCTCTTGAGACTATGTTTTGGGTATCGAGAAGAAACACGAGATGGGCTGAAACACAGGCTTAGAAACATGGTCGCATTTCTGCCACTACTCTAGTATAAGTGTGTTTTCTATCATTTTTGAAAGGGGAGAGCTGGGTTTTTTATCCCAAACACCCAAGGGACGAACCCTAGAGAGTGAGCGACTTGGAGACATTCTTGGAGTGAAAATGAAGGATTTCTTCACCGCTGGAACTCGAAGAACAAGCTTGGAGATAGAGTTTGAAAATCTATATCAGAATCCTGCATTCTATCTCTTCTCTATAGAGTAACTTCCTTTTACTTAGGTTTTGAGGAACCCTAGTTATGTTTTTCTTGATTGGATGATCGTATAAGTACTCTCTCTTGATTATCTTGAGTTCATATTTTTAATCTATGAAATATTTCATGATTCAATTTTGCTTTGATTCTGTGAGAGGTAATACCTTACTAGGTCAATAGAGCACCATGGATTGGAAGTAGGCGATCGATAACATGAGAGTAAGTGGATTCAATGCTATGTATTGAGTGAGAACCTCGCCCAATAGAAGGAGCCTAGGCTAAAACACCTTGATCAGTTGTTCTAAAGAAGGATTCGTCCCACTAGGCATCCGCCTCAAGAGAACATTGATTGCTTAAAAAGTGTTCAATGTCTAGTCAAGGACTCTCCGCATTGTTAATGAATGGTGATTCCAGTTAGAGCATTATTAATCATTAATCTTGTTAGTGGCTAGGAGGAATCATAACTTGAATGAGTGCCCAACCTGTAAGTAGATTAACTTTAGTTTGCTAGAGTAGTTGTAGTTCTTTTAAATTGATCTGGTTTGCTAAATAATAAACTGAAGCTATGTAATAGTAAATCTAGAGACTTCTGGATTCAATATTTATTACTTATACCACGATATTGCGATCCTGGCATTTTTTCACTTGGCATTATCAAGAGTGTAGTTTTAACGAGTCAACGAGTTAGCTAAGACACAGAGTTGGGTCGGGTCAATTGTTGTACCTAGCCACTAAAACCGCGGAAAATACTGAGACCCTAGGTACCATGTTTGCACGTGCTCTCAAGGTTCCTCCTTCACCGCTGGATAACAAGGACCCAGCGCGCTCATTTAGGGATGTGCAATGGGTGGGTTTTAGGATAAAATCCACCCACCCATTGCTATGGCGGGTGATGAAAAATTGACCCACACCCACCAATTTGTACAGTTGTGGGTGGGTTGGGTGGGCGACAGCGGGTGGTGGGTGGGTTTGGCGAATTTGGTGGGTCAAATTATTTTTAAATAAGTAGATAATTATGAGCCATAAAAAATTGGACAAAACTAGTTGAATATCAATGCTACAAATAAAAAAACTTGAGGCATTTTTTTGTTTTAATTATTTTTAATTTATTGTAATAATGAGGTGGAATTTATTAAAAATTAAATTTTCTTATTTATTATTTTGTAATTGTTACGTCACTCATTTAACAGTCAACTATAAGAGTTGACCGCCACATCAGTAAAGTTAACGGAGACTAACGGCCAGTGACGAAACTTGAACTGTTAACCTAATTTAAGTGACTACGGATGGAATAAAGTAATTCCAGTGGCTAACGTGAACTTTACTAGTAATTCAAGTGACCAAACTTACAATTTAGTGTTGCATAATCTAACACCAATTATCTCATTTACGAACACACAATATTTTATTGACAGTTATCATATTTTAACATTTATAAAATATAATATTATAGTTTAATTAATCAATCATGATTAAAGTATTGAGATAAAAAAACAATGTGTTTTATTACAGCATGTAGTAATGACTTAATATATCATATGAATTTGCGATTAATGACCTATCCCTAGGCCCCTACCCATCCACTACCACCAGCCACCCACCCAAATTTTGTGGATGACAAAAACATTGACCCACACCCACCCAAACATATAATGGGTGGGTTATAATCGAGTGAATTTGAATGGATCTAGCGGTTGACGCATCCATTGCCCATCCCTACGCTCAGACCTGGAGGTGGGTGAGAAAGCCAGGGTTTGAAATACATGGAAATGGAACCGAAACTGCACAACAAGCACTCTAGTCTACACTAGAGCTCGAGGACAAGTAGTGTCACTAGATCGTCCGACTGATGGATCATCAAAGTGAGTACAAGAGTGAAGAGTTAGAGGTGCCACAGAAACAACTTAAACTCTTTTGGACCAAGCAGAGGGATATCCACTCATAAGACGAGCTTTGCCCACGCCTATGGAGTTGGCCTCACGCCACTCTAGTGTAGTTGGTCGTAGATAAGCTATATCGATTTCTGCCTTTGGTTACACTATAGTTACAAATCGATTAATTGCACTAAACCGTCTGTTTCTGCCAACAAAAATCAAAAAGGAATTTTAATATATATTGCATATCTACCCGAGGAAAAAAAATTAAGAATCTACAATATACAAAAGGACGCGAAGGTCGCAGAAGTAACCTAAAGCGCACTAGAAATGATTCACCGGCTTCAGGCATCAATGGGGGCGAAATTCTGTGCGCATGAAACATGCTCCCACCTCCTCTGTTACTTTACCGCATATGCATTCTCAGCACTGACTCTCATTACTTTACCTACAGCTGATCAAAAGAGCCACTTCTCAATCTTTCCATTCGGGCCTGGAGCCCCGAGAGCGCCTTCTCGTCCATTGGATGGATCCCGCCATGTGCAGGATTCTCAGCATCCACATGTTCGGCTGCACGAGGAGCGACCTGAGCAGCAGCCAAGCTGTTGTTGTTGTTCACATTGTCATTCATAGACATTAATGGCCTAGCACCAGAGTCTGGTACATTCCCGCCGGTGGCAGCTAGTTGCATGCTCTTCATCCTCTCCCTTATAGCATCCAGCGTCCCAGTGGTTACTGTAGATGAGAAACCATAACACAATGAGAAGAAACCCAAAAAGGAAATGCAAAAGAAGAACCCGATTAAGATCAAGCACCACGAAGGATTGCTTACTCAATTTCTCATTTCTTTGGTCATTTTCAGAGACGCGGCTTCTTGAAGCAAGCACATTGAGACCTCCTCGGCCATCTTCACCATATGCGGGCGGTAGATGGAAGTTGGTTGGCGGCTCAGGCCTCACGTGCAACGACTTTACGTCACCGCCTAAGGAGTTTGTTTGAACAGGTGACAGAGGTGCAAAGTCAGGTGAGGAAACATTGATGAGAGCCGATGGAGGAGGTGTAGACATTGGCGTACTAGAAGGAGTCCTTCCAGCTGCAGCATTCTTCTCCATCTGGGGCAAGATAATAAAAGTGGGAAGCATTATTAGCATCAATCCAAATTCGTTCCCATCCATTCCAAAGGCCCAGCTAAAGAAGAAGAAAAAAAACTTCCACAAACACAAACCTGAGCTAAACCATCTCTAATGTACGTTCGAAATGCTTCGCTAGCATTTTGAAGCTGAGAAAAAATATCAACCTGGAAGAAACAAATATGTATAAGGTCAATGTCCAAGACTGTCAACAGGACTTATTAGAGCTCTCTTTAATGCTAAATTTGACAACATCAATTCTACCTTGGGATACAGCTGAGTAATACGATACAGTTCATAAAGACCAATGGTGCATGTCTGCTTATCACCAATTTTCTTGAATATGGCTGCAAGTTCTTGCTGTAGATGGAAAGCAAGAAAAATTTCTTCAGTTGCAGCCATGCAGGCAGGTTAATGTGTAAACCGTCTGACAAGTTCATATGTAGTATATATGTACCTTTAACTGGGCATCGGCTGAGTGTGTTGCAGATGATGCGTTATTAGCTGTAGAATCACCCCAATGAGTTTGGCCAACGGGTCCAGTTGAGGTCAACATTCTTGCAGCAGCTAAAGTCTGTACAGAGGAAGAAAAGAAACAGTTAATCATTTTGTCTGTTAGTGGAACCCCAACTGCAGGAAAGGTAGGGTACCATTTCATCAATCAACTCTCACCTCAAGGTTGAGATCAATGTATGCAAGAATTATTGGTTGCGGTTTCATGTCTATAGGAACCATAGAGAGGTGACCCTTAATTGCAGCCCCCCGGAGCTTAACAAGTTCGTGTAAAACAGTCTTCACCATACGCAGTGGCTTATCATCAGCTCCAGCCCTTTATCAACACATGGACAAAAGGGAAACAATCAGTTGAAAGAGAATACAACTCTAGTTTTCAGCTCCAACTGCAGTGTAGTACAGATAATAAAAGTACCTTTTCCTAATTTCTTCCATTCCCAGCTCCTGCAAGTATATGTGGATGCTTTGAAGAATGCGGTCAAGATCGACCTCGTAAATTGTGCTTTGAAGAACCTGAAATGGTAATAAAAATAAAAATTATAAATGAATGCAGACGGTCACTGCTTGAACAATTCAACAATCCTGCAAGAGGGGTGCTAATCGGTTCGGTGCTGGTTAACCACTAACCCGTTTGGCGGTAAGTCATTAAAACCTCTTTGCAAAAAATGAATACCGAAAACGGAACCAATTAGCTTTATCGGCTAACTGCCTATTGTCTGTTTGGTTAGCGGTTAGTATGACAGCAACCTCCAGATGTGGAATTTTCCTTTCGTAATTTTAAATTTTTTTGTGCCCTTTTCTAATAATAAAATTATAAACATAAAAATAGTTCAAAACAATTTAAATAAGCTTCTACATTGTTAACATAAAACAATATAAATATAGAACATCCATCGTGAATCAGAATCTCAATCCAAATTCCAATACATAAAATTAGGAAATTTCAAACATCTTAGTACAAACTAGCAAGACATCAAACAAAAGCACCACAAGACCAACATCATTCACAAACAAAGAAACGAAGACTACAAGGGGGCGAGGGTCGCTTTGTCAACTGCAAAGTGTATTCGGAGAGGGGTCACTATCGAGTTCCGACTATTTTATACATTGGTGAATTGTGATTAGTGGTTCACTTACCAAATCAGCAAACCAAAACTGAACCACTAAAAAATTATGGGTTATCAGTTAACTATTAAACGTCTCACCATTGTTAGTTCAACTATCGGTTAAATCCTCGCCATTATCAGTTCAACTATCAGTTAAAACCTATAACTGACTAACTGTTTATCTGCGCTAGAGGCTATTCTAAACAAGGTGTTACATGTTGCTGGCAGCACAAGACGAGCATACATGAAATGCCTACAACCATGGACCACTGAAAAATCAAGCAGCAACAGCAACATAAAATGCAGTTTCGGCTTAATCTTGTGAGGTAAGATACAAGGCCACGCAGCTGATCACAAAAGATTATCAATATTGAAAAGGCCTACAAATGTGACAATAAATGTTTACCTTTGTGAGTTTGATAAGGCATTTGACAACAAGATCAGAGAACTTCTGATTCCTGATGGCAAAAGCTTCTGTCGAAGCAGGTAAAGGCCATCGAGATGGATCCAGTGGGCGCAAGAGATTGATCAGAACAGCAAATGAAGATGTCCTATCTGCATTATCCTGCAAATGCAATCACTAGTAAGAATGCTAAAAAGTAAATGAAAAATATAAAAAGAAAGGGTTATATGGTGGATATGCGCACCAGAATTTTTAGCATCAGCACATTTAGAGCTTTCAGAAGCTGGCTACCATCATCCATATGAGGCACCCTCTCATCTAGAAGCCAAAGTAGAAGTTCTGTTATGAGACTGTCAAGTGTGCTTTCCTTAACAGCATGTGCAAGCCTCCTGTTTTGAAAAGTCTGTAGCGGACTTCAAAGAATTAGGAAACTACAACAAATTACTGATTAACTAAAATGCAATGATTGTGGTAGTAAGTCAACAAGCTGGTGCCGTCAGCCGTGCCATTTTCTGTAAACAAGAAATATAATAGGTGAAGTTTACCTGCATGAGGGTGTTCAGGACATATTTACAAGACCTCGATGAGGCTCCTGTCAAACTGAAATCAAAAGTCTTGGCAACCTGGTCAACCAATATGTAAAGAGTAAGTTGAGGCCTCTAATGTAGATGCTAGGGGAGATATTCAGCACCTAATAAGTACCTTGTTCGCTAAACAAGAAACCAGTCTATCGGCATCCTTCACCAATTCATCCATCGTACTGCCCTCAGGATCAGCAGTAGCCTGTGCCAACTCATGGCACACAACTTTCATTCCTTCCACTGACTGAAATGGCAAATCAGAAATACATGCTAAGCAGGTGCATAAGAATGGTATGGCAATCCATCACAAATAGGAGGAAAGACAGGCTAGAGAGAGTTACACGAGCATTAAGGAAAAATCAGTTTTACATCATACATATTGATCAACAATCAAGCAAACGAAACAATAACAAGATACATAAACTCCAAGTTGAGAATCACTTGGAATGGAAAACATAGACCAATCCATACATATGAGTAGATGACCACACGATGAAATAACAAGTGAGCTGATATCCTTTAACCTAATATTTGAGATATTAGGAATTTAAGATACAAGAGTGGCATCAGCGACTGCATAGAACTACTTATAGGTTGTAATTTAACAACCACCAGATACTCAACTACAGATATTAAAGCTTATAGACAAATATCCGCCATTACCAATGATTGGTAACTATATTCAGATCAAACACATAAATTTGGCACCAAATGAAAAATGATTGAACGCATCAATAAGTGACCTTTGACATCTAATTTTGAAAAAACCACTACCAAGTGATTGGAACAAATCTACCGGATTCCAAACAATGATCTATTTTAGGCTCAGTTGAAACCACAACCATTAGTTCCAAAGGAGAAGGCAACAAGACTCCTATTATTCAACGTCTCCGGTTGCATCATTTCTCATATTCAGAATTCCATGAATCATGAACACCAAATGTGCAATGCACAGGAGTGCTAGAAACCACAATCACGGACAACTAGACAAGAACAGTTAGTAGAACCTGCTCTGGAGAGCCAAAGGCAATTATGTCAACAGCTTCATTCCAGTCAGATGGGCTGTTTGCGCCAGCAAGTGCAGAGGGAATTATATGTCTTTCCATTTGATCGTGCATACCATAATTTTTCCTGCATATAGGCACCCAGGTTCTTTCTCTGTGTCATCGGCTGGATGGGGAGATTGTCTATGACTTAAATATATATGTTATTGAACAGAAGAAAAACTCAAGAAAATAAAGACACCTTATAAGTGCTGGACCAGGTATAGACTGTGATACTTCTCCACTCTGCTCCGCCACCTCAGCCCTGATATCAGTACAAAGGAGAGCATGACAGAGATTTAGACCCCAATGGTTAACGGATTGAGCATTATATTTTAAGTGGAAAATTCCTTTTCAAGACTTGTGCTAGCAGAAGCATACATTTAAAAGTGTAATGTGAACCACATTCATGACAATTAATTACTTGGATAACACGTCATAAACCATAAGCATACCCATTTTCCCTAACAGATCTTCTCAAAGCGGCTCTAGCATCACCTGGACGTCCTTCCCTCCGTTTCTCCATCTCGCGGACCTAGAAAGTTACAGGATTAAAGAATAAAGTAGCCTTCATCTATACTTACAGGTTCTAGAATTCAACAACTCAAATTCCCTGTTACATAACTAGATTTAACAAGTAATCAAGCTCTCACAAAAAATCTGAAGCATATATCACCATACCTTCCACTTAAATCTATCATCCAACATACTCTTTTGAGCTTCTGTTAGCTTGCCAACAAATCTCCATATGTCCTCACCTATGGTAAATCACGAAAAATGAAATGAAAACCCCGAGACTGAGATTATAGAGGTTACTAGGATTAGCGAAAAGAATACAGGGAAAATATCTTCCAATTGTCTCAATGACAATTAGCCTCAACGAAGAAAAGAAAAACAAACCTCTTCGACCAACTTACACCAAGCATGCAACAGAACTGAACTAAAAAGGGATTAAAGTACTCATACACACCAAGGTATTTGTATCCAGTGGCTAGAGCATTTAGAGCAGCTTTCCGAGTTTCACCGTCCCTTTCAGCTGTCAAGCTGGCAACCACTTGGAGGGATTTTAACTGCCCACCAATCTGTGAAAACCAAAAGTCAAGATAGGGCTGAAAAGTAAAAACAGAATGCACCCAGGCCACCAAAACAAGTACCTCTGTCCCATGATGTTCTATTAAGAACCCCACCAGGTCTGCACACTCTATGCGAGTACGGTTATTTTTTGAGCGCAGACCCTCCAAGATATATGGGAAAGTTTTCGCTGCAGAGTACGCTTGAATTATCTGCTTGGCAAGTTCACGCATCTTTTCTCTGACTTTCTCGATGTTATGCCCCAACTGCATGTTTTCAGTCCAGAAAAAATGTTACAAAACAATTCAGTGACCTTCTCTAAATATCTTATTTAAAACTCTCACATAGCGCACATAAAGAAGTCCAGCAAGAACTTTAGCACTGCTTTTACATTAAAGTGTCAACCAAAGATGGTAATAATTTATGAAACCTTTTCTGACAAGCATGGAAGGAATATTGCTGCTTCTGCTTCAGTTAAATTGTATCCTTCATTCTGAAGCATCTCAAAAAGTTCAGGGAGGACTTCGAGAACCTGTTCCATCCAACATCAAATTATGACATATCATTCCTCAAAATAAATAGATGAATAAAAATGTAAACTAGCACAGAAGTAATGCAACCAAACCTTCAACATGCACGTTGTGTTAGACTTGCAAAACTGCAAGACAAACCACCTCAACAATATATCCAAAACCTCGATAACTTCTTTCTTTATGGATGGAAGTGCCTGTAATTTAAGCATGAGATTTGAATGAAAAACAGACATAGAACAACAGGAACAAGCAATGTTCATTCATAGCTTCAGCGAACTCAATTTTGAAGTTTGTTAATTGCATGGAAACTAAATCATTATGCATCATAAACATGCGGACCAAGAATGTGCGGCACTTAAGAAGAATGCTAGATACCTTCTGTAGCAGGTCAAGTCCATCAACCTGTTTCTTAAAATCTGTACTAAGGAGCCGTCTGTGCAAGTCCTCTCTAAAATATCTATTCATATCAACCTGAAACAAGAATATCTTTGATATCACCGATGTTGAAAAAGACTCCAAGATAGTTTCAAAAGGCACATCACATGGACAAACCTCAAGATCTTGAATCTGTTCCAGACGAGGTTCTTCAAACTTAAACCGTTTGACCACAATTCTCTCTCTCTCATCCTGAACAGATTAAGCACAAGTGGTCAAGTCAGGTTATGCAACACACCTTGGATACAGTTTTCAGAACAACAACGTTACTATACCTTGTTCGAGTCTTTAACATTCAATAATGCCTGTGATTGTACAGCCCTGTCATGAGCAGCCAAGACTGGATCTACCCTCGAACCCTTAGCTGGTGCAATTCTCTATAAAAACAAGCACCCAAAAATTAGCTAGTGCAAACAACGCATTGGAACTGACCCTACTCGAGCAAGAAGAACATACAGAGGAAACTGCTTTGTTTGCATGCTTTGAGACTCCATTAGCAGCTGATCTTCCGACCTTTGTGCTAGCCCTAGATGCCGGGACAGATGGCATTGCTTTTGCCGAATCAAACGGCTCTGTTGCAAGGAAGAAAATTTCCAAAGATCGCGACGATTTAAGAGCAACAAAACAACCAGATCACTGAAAATTTTACTGACGCACAAACCTTGAAAGGAAGAATCAGGTCTAATACGCTCCATAATAATAGCTAATGCTGGCCCCTGAATGTCCCTCAGATGCTTCTCAATCTGTCAATAAATGAAGTTTATTTCGTGTAATTTATTAATCTAAATAAGAACGATTGGTAAGAAAATATTCGAGCACATACAGTCTCTGTTCCACAGACTCTCACAACCTCGATGATGCATGCTTCTGCAGCCTTTCGAACATCGGCCGACTTGTCCTGGCATCCATTGTACACGATAACATGAATGAGAAGACAGCTTCAAGATAATGCTAATTTAGGAAAAAGCTTATGCAAAGTGAATCGAGATAGTTTACCGTCATTGCGGAACCAACTGGTTTCAAGAGATGCACAGCATCAGAAAAATCACTCAAGCCAGACAACTGTTTTGAGCACCAATCAAAGAGATCCTTGCGCCCTTCAGCACCAAGCTTATTTTCAACCAAAGCAGTTGCGATGTATGGAACCTACAAAAGACATTACATCAAGCATGATAGTTAGAGATAACAAGCCGACAGTAAGTACTACATCTTCTCAATGAACAACAGGTACTACGAAAGTCTTTACCATTTTATCAAAATGAACAGCAGAAACCCAGGAATCCAGTGTAGCCAATGTACATTCTCTCATATGTTTCTTATTATCGCCTAGACATTTCAAAATATCCGAGAGAATGCCCTGCAAAAGACCAAGCACAAACAATGAGTTCCATTTTCAGAAAGAAAAACTCAACATGTTCGCACAGTTCTCAAACTAGGAAGCTCGTAAACCTTGCTGGACTTCTCCACAGCAGGACCCATAGCAGAAGCAACACCACCAATTGTTGCCAAAGCTGTCATGATCAGATTCTTATTGCTGTCATATAGACGACCTCTAAGAGCACCAAACAGATCACCTGGTAACAAGAATAAAAATATCACCAACAGACAGGGTCGATAACTTAAAGAGCAGATGTAAAGTGATAGCTTTACCAGTTCCCGTAGGTTGAATGCGCTTATTAGCCTCCTCCAAAATCTTATTAACAGCTTCAATAGACTCTAATCGGATCTGGAGCATAGAAAGGAACAATGAACTAGATGAAGAAAAGTTTATCAACGAATTTCGAGATAAAATGACGAAAGTTGGCACTGAAATTCCATAAAGCAGGCATGTTGAGATCATTTTAAATAAGGAAAATGCACACCTTCCAATCAGGACTTTCAAAGCCTTTCAGAAGAGTAGGCGTTATTTTTCCACTAATGTCTTCACGAGGCAAGCCATCCAATCCACCAGAAGATGGAGCGGATGTGGCTTCAGATGCCTTGACTGTCCTCTTAGGAGCTGCAGCAGCACCCTGACATATATGCACACACACTAAGCAACTACTCCACAGAAAACCAGACTTACAAAAGGCGCTGCAGATAAGCTCCTTAGCCTACCTCAAAAGGATTTTTCTCATACTCTGCATCGAGTGTACTAAGCAAAGCAGGTTTGACATCCGCCAGAAAACCCTTGATATCTGTAAGAATCCACTTTAAACAGGAGATCAACATAATCAATAGACCAAAAGTTAATAAGTTATTCAGCACTCACCTGGACCAACGAACTTATGCAAAACACCTAAAAGCTTGATTGTGGCATTTCTGCTGGCAGCAACACTTGACTGCAGCCCAATATCTTTACAGAAATCAATCAAGTCCTGCAAACCACAAGATAATTAGTTAAAGAGAATCAATCAGATGGCCAAGACAAAGAAAACATCAGATGCATTTGAAACCAAAACAAACAACTTGAGGGTAATTTGGAGGCACCTTAAGCTTTAAGAGTGACACACCAAAGTCCTCAACTGCTGAGACCATCCACAATATCCCCTCACTAAGAACCTTAGGATTCTTGTGTTCTTTCATGATTTTGTAAAGCTACAAATATCATCACATATCATATAAACAAGAAAAAAATTCAAAGAACAAACTCAGGAAGAACACATGTGGTATGCTCTTGGATAAGGGAAACAACACATTTGGATCTGCACTTATACATACTCGTTCAAAAACAAATCCAGGACCAACAGCTTCTGAGAAAGTGGTAAGACACTTCATAGCCTGTGCTCTGGTCTTAATATCAGCTACCCGTTCACCTATGCCCAGTATACAGAGTACGACACATTTCTTCGGGAATTTTTTTGCTGTTGAAGCTAGATGGGTGACAACTTCAATAACCTGCTGCTGGACCTGCATTCCAAAGAAACTGGATATCTAACCAAACACCTGTGTAGGATATAACTTTAGCCCACTACTAGGAAGTGCAGCACTTGCACTTGCCTGAACATTTTTTTCACTCCAACCAGGAAGGACACAGACTAAACGTGTCAAAATTTCCACTGACTGATCAAGATCCTGTAAGCCCTCAATTTGTTGTCGCAATGAGGACATTGCTGCAGAAAGAGCCAAACAGAACCAGAGATTGATGACTGTAACAACTTCAACAGAATGGCACGCTACTACTACCATCAGTTCCAGCATTTTAAAAGAAACTGGCGAATCAGGAAGTAAAAGAATGAGAACTTTCCTAAAAAACATGTTAATAACATGCATTGGAATCAAAGTGAATCATAGTACCAACAAAAAAAAAAAAAAAAAAAAAAAAAGATTTGATCATTCCAAACACTTACTTATGACCATACTATAATCCACTTCCAAGAAAATCAGTTGCATTTCACTGATTTGACTTGTAATTGCCCAAATGTTTTACCGAACAAACACATATTTCATATCTCAGGCTAGCTTTGTAGAACATTCTTACGGTCTTCGGTAAAAATCGGTTTCAATCAAATTGAGCGGTGCTGCTACTATGACAATGCAGATTTCTTCAGGTTATAAATTTCAACGGTCAAAGGACTCGAACCTTTGGATAGTGATTATCAATATGGACAAGCACCACGTAGTATAAATAAAAGAGAGAGCCTAAAAAGTTTATAGATGAAAACCAATAAACTGTATTGACGCTTTGACCAGAAGATTTCAACACGCAGAAAAATGTGTACCTTCAAGCCGCTCTTTCCACACAGTGCTTTTCAAGAGAGTAATGGTCTCAGCTTGCACAAGAGAACCTAATCTGCTCTCTATCTCTTCAAGACCCATCTCTGCTGGCTGGAAAATGCAACCAAGAATCAAGTCGTTAGACATAATTACAAAACCCAATACATGAAAGGAAACATTAATAGTAAAACAAATAACAGGTGAACTAACTTCAACATCCTCAGGTGGTTCAATCTTCGAAGCGTCAGCACGGCCAGCTCCATCGCCTTTCTTAGTGGTACTAACCTTTGCAGACCCAGGCTTTTTGTTGTTGGCAGGCTGATACAGACAGGAAAACGAAGATATAAATAACATCAGCTTATCCATATGACAGGAAGGAGGAGCGTTGAGGGACTTACAGCAGCTGCAGCAGGCCTCTTCCCACTAAGCATGCTAGCTGCGGACTTCCTCACAAAAGAACCCCCGGTGGTCTGCAAAAGATGTCAAATGGCGACAGTTTTAGAGCGCAATCTTCCAGTTTGATCAGAAATCATATATTTTCCAATTGCCGTGCACTAACCAAATTTTGAATTACTTGAGTAAATCACTTGATAATACACAGCATGGGAAAGGAAGGTAACACAAAAGATAGGGTAGCAGAAAATATTACATAAGATAGAACCATCAACCAATATCACACACTATGAGAGAAAGAAAAAACGTACTCACCTCAGCAGAAGATGCAATACTGCCAACAGCTTGACCGGTATCTGGCAAGTTACACCAATCATAAGAAGGAACAAATAAATAGATGGTCATGAAAATGGTAACTGAATGTGATTAACAATAAAGAGGGGAGAAAGAAACCTGAGCTTGTAACAGCTGTGGAACCACTTCCTGAACCTGCAATCATTTCAGAAAGCTTCTTTTTCCTAACATCGTCCAGTTTCTCCAGCGACCTCTCCAATGGCCTCATACCAACCGACTAAAATAATTCAAATAAGAAAAGGTAAAAGAAATCTAATAAAGGCACACAACCTTGAACTTCATCTGAGTTGATGGAAGCAAAGCAGTACCTTAGCTATTGCTGCCAAAGCTGCAAATGCTGAATCCCTCACTTCAGGGGTCCCATCATTGAGACACTACAAGATTCAAAAGCCATATTATAATCTGATCATCTGAAGCAGCTAAAAAGACAAAGAACTGAACATACAGATTCAATGTCATTGAATAAATAGAATAATCAGTAAACATAGATATTTACATGTTCGTGACAAACGGCCATTACGAACACCTATGTATCACAGATTAGAAGGTACCCCGCAACTACTAATAGCTATATCTCCTGACCTTAAAAGAGAAAATCAAAGGAAACCAGCATACACAGAATAGTTTGTATAGTCCATTTCTAAAATAACATAACCTCAACAAACCACCACACTACTAGTATTGTAGAAAGAGCCAATAGATGTGTGGAGTAAGCTTACCTCCATACAAATGGGCACATAATCCTTATGTGCCTTCAAAACAACAGCCTTGCTGCTCGTTTCAATGCAAAATGTCACCCAATTCAAAGTTAATGAACGCACTAGGGGAACTTTATTTTTGGTTGCTGTCTTAATCTCTGCCATAAGAAAATACCAAAACATGAATAGTCCCATATACCACAGATCCAAATCCATTTGAAATATATATATATATAAAAAAGGGGGAACAGCAGTAAAAAAACACACATATTCTCAAACTGTTAAGAGTATTATTTATGCCAAAAGAATAAATAGGAACATGTCGTAGTTTAACCAACAAACATACAGCTTTATCAATGGAGAAACTTCCAGAATTGACACTTACCTTCAACAATGTCTACAAGATTTAAGCATCCTGCCTTATGCATAGCTTGCAGTGTTTGTGTCAGTGCCTCGGCCATTGTAGGCTTTTTCTCTTTCAATTTTTCCTTACATAGGATAATTTGAACAAAATTCAATTCAAGACTTTGCTTAAATAATACAGTTAAGGACAGTAACAGCAAAGAATGATTACACGTAGTAAAAGATGAGCAGAAACATTAAGCATCCAGGTACACATTTCCCGTCTCAATACTTACAAGTAACACGGGCAACAAGAACCGAGAACTTGCAGAGAAGTGTGTCCTGAGACCCCTTGCAAGATTTCCGATTGCTTGGACTGCCTCAACTCCAACAGCTATGTTCACATCCGTAATAAGCTGCAGGACACACACAAAAACAGGGGATTAAAAGCAGCCTTACCAAGTAAGATATTTACAACAGCCATCCAGCAAAAAAATGAATGACATCCATAAACCAAGAAAGAAAAAACTCTGAGACCAGATCAAAAGATGCAGCTTAAAAAACTTGTGCCTCAGATGAAAAGTAGACAGGAGTAACATGGAGGGAGTGGTAGTCACAATAATGCTGCATAGTACAAACACTTGAATGTTAAAAGGTCAAAACACAAAGGAGAGATTACAACTAACAAGATTTCCTCAATTGGTCCACCTCTATTTTGTCATTTATTTCTACTATAATTGGCACCTCCTTTCAGAACACAAGGACTGAAAGCGAAGAAAGAGCAAATAGCCTAAATCAGGGCATAAAAAAGTATTCTCCAGCCACAGCCCATTACTTAAATGCATGCTTTCTAATTCATAGAATGTATTAGCAATATGAAAACAAAAACTCACAGGAAGTACAAACAACCATCAAAAGTAGGTGTAGTGAAAAAAAGGATCAAAAAGCTCATTGAACTCTTTCAATCTCAAACAACAAGAATACCTTCTTCAATGTCCGGCAAACTTCAGAAAAATCACCAGGCGCTATCCTCCTTGTCGAAGCCAGCTTGGTCAGCTCTCCCACAGCCTCTTTTCTTTCTGACCATTTGGTAGCTTTCTGAACAAACGACATAAAAGTGAAGTAAGAGTAAGCCATAAATTATATTTATAATTCAATAGCACAAAAAGGAGAAAGGGAACGGCTGACTGAGCACTAACCACGCCATCCCAAAAGGCTGACTTTTCTAGAGGAGTCAAAATATCAACAGGATCAATAAGCTCATATTCATCGATTTCCTGGGGCACTGGTAAAAAGGACACCATGACCAACAAGTGAGTACATACACCCCAAGAAAAATGAAAAGACCTACCAATAGCAATGCATACCATCAGCCACAGATTCTTCAGATTGACTAGGACCGACAGCTTCTGCTACACTTTCCGGCTCTGGCTCCTTGTCTTGCTCAGATCTAAGATAAGCATCTGTGTTAGAAATGGAAAGAATATGGCAAACACAACTTCCAAGAAACCTCCAATTCGAACTAGCACTTAATTCGAAAGAACAAAAAGGTGAACATTTAGAAGACGGAAAAATTACCCATGGTATAAAGAGCACGAACTCGACTCTAGAATAGGCAGCTAATACACCTATTTACCAGAATAATACATCCAAAATAATGAGTCACTCTCCAACTAATAGAATACCTAGTTGCCAAGGACAATCCGGTTATAGACAAATAATAAAATTAGACAATCTAGAATATACATGCAACCCAGCAAGGGGCAAACACCGTGCAGCAATTTAAAGTGGCCAAGTAATAACAAAATAAAGGCTAAAAGTAAGCAAACCTAACAGTTTCACTCTATTTATCACCTGAGTTTAAAACCCTTTGGTAGTACATTCAAGAACAAATCCACAATACAACAAAATGGCATTCAGTATAATCACCTGATTTTGCGAGATGGCTTAGCAGCCCCAGAAACGTTAGCGAGCTCGGCCTCCAGCTCTTTTTTCTGTTTTCGAAAACAATTGTCATATAGCATGAATTCAGCGGGGAGGGAGATGAAAGACAGACAAACCATGGTCTCATACCATAGTATCACGCATCTTCTCCAACAATATTGACTTCACGGGGTCTTTGCCAATCCATCGACAAAGCTCAAGGGTAAGTCCTTTTGAGCAAGCCCTGACATTTTGATCCTGATGATCAAATAATTCTGGCAGCATCTTCAAAATCCGCTTTGGTGGAATAACTTTGGCGCCAAACTCACTATTGGTAACAAGAAAATACAAATAAGCTTTATGTAGAAAAAGATTAAACAGCTCAATTTTCTGCACAAAACCAAACAAAAAAATCTGATCCACATACCTTAAAGCTTGAAACATAACATCAATTGCAGGCACAACAGCTTTAGAAACTTTGTTCTTGATAGCTTTCTCCATTACATCCTGGAAAGAAGCCACGTTTAACTATCAAAGACTGCAAGGATTCCAACAAGAAACTAAACAACTTGTAGTAAATCCACATTCATACATGAAAATCAATTGACAAATTACATAGAGAACCAAAATTGGCAAGCCCAGGAAATGTCTGGGGAATGAACAACCTGTTATTCAGTTCGGAAAGGGTACCCCATTTCAACACCAGCTAGTGAAGCAGTGGGACTGATACATAATTCACGTATTTCAACTCAAATCAATTAAAGCAAATGGCAATAGACCACATTACTCCAACAGTCTCCAATACCATAGCATGCTTTTGGCTCACCTCCAAGGCCATTTACCGCAGTCTACACTCGGCTTCAACTAAGTCTAATGCCCTCTCCGATATCTGTAAACTAGTTAAGCATCATCGAACTTTTCAATATTACCAATTTACCAAATGCTGACTTTTCCTCGACTGTCTCACCTAATTGAAGTACAGTGAAGATGGCAAAGACAACTAGCCGAGGTTCAACAAAGTTACTAGCTATCCTCAAATCATCACTCAAGAGACCCAAGTAGAAAAGTGAAAAGTAAGCTATTCCTCACCACTTGTTTCTAGGTGTTCTATTTACGTTCAATGAACTATGTTGGCATAATACCATAAACCAATGATGATTAACAGAGCAAGACGGTATACAGGTATAGAAGCCTGCAATCTGACTTCTGCGATGAGAAATCGCTTAATGTGCGATCACAAGAAGTCAAGAAGTGAACCAATGGACTCCCTGTAATTCGATGGTCCTTACGTGACAACTCATGGAATCACAATTTTCAAGGCTAGTTCAATGTATATGCGCACACTAAGAACAAGGACTACAGTGACATGGAAGAGCACATATTGAAATATATGTATGAAATTGCACATAATCAGTTCCGTAATATGAATACACAATGTAGCTCCTCAGTTCAGGAAAATCTAAGAAACAAGATCTTTTCATACCAGAAAAACGTCCACTGCCTCCAGCTCTACCCAAAGCATGAATGCTGCCTGTGCCTTCTCCACTGTCTTTGGCCGACCAGTAAGACACTTCGCAGCAATTGCATCACATACCTCCTTCGCGAACCTACTCCGGGCAATAGGAACCGAAATTAAATAAGAACACAAGAACAACCACAACAAGCTAAAGGTACACCAGAAGAGAAGTAATGATGGAAATCAAACACATTGTCACCTTCCAGCATCAGCATCTACAGCTCGTTGAAAAGCTATCAACGCATCGAGTGCTTTCTCTTGCACAGGTGCATTTGAATCCGCCACGGTTTTCCTGAACAACGGGCCTAACCCGAGCGAGAAATGGCAATCACCACAATCACACCCCAAAAAAAAAAAACACACGAAAAGCTGCATCAATTTTCACCGGCATTGGGCATAGATGTTCAAAATCTAGAAGATCGATGGCTGGTCAGATCTGAGCCGCTAGAAACGTGAAGGAGCGGAAATGGAAAACCCTAAGTGGAGAGCCAAGGACTGGTTGGGCTCACCGAATTCTCGTAACCGGGGGTCCTTTGGATCGGTGATGGAATCGCAAAGGGCAGCCAAGTCGATGTTGGCTTCGTTACGCACTTTCCAGTTCTTGTGCAACAACCGATCTTCCCAAGGCAATTTCTTCGCCTCTTTCAACAATTTCTCCTCTTCGGACATTGTGTATCCTTTCTAACAATCTACACACAAAAAAAAAAACTGCTGCCCCTAATCGATTTCCGGCAATGCGGTCTGGCGGTCGCCGAAGTAGTGCTTCTCCGTCGCTTCCTTTCTTCCTCTGTGATTCCTTCTTCCTTTTTCTTTCTCCGCCGAGTGCCGGCGGGAACAGGAAATAAAATGACAAAAACAAGGAGCCCTCGGCTCGGCTGAGTGCGTACGATATGTTTTATGATCTCCTCCTCCAAATTCAAAAAGAATAACCCCCGAAAAAATAAAGGGAAGAAAAGAAACCGGTGGAGAACGAGAAATTACAAAAAGAAAATAGGAGGAAATTTGGGTTGTACGTTACGAATTGGAATTGCTCTATTACCAGCTGCAGCAGGAAGGAAGTGAGCTGCAGTCTCCTTCGGGGAAGTGAAGAAGACTAGAAAGGTGAACTGCCAACTGGACTGGCCCACGCAAATAGGCAGCCCAACCGTGGACTGAACCAATGACGTGGATGCGTTTGTTTGACGGGTGATACAGATTTCGGCTTTTCTTTTTCACTATGTTTGGGAAAGGGGTTAATCCGTTAATGGAAGGGGAAGTAGGTATTTAAATAATTATGAATACGGTAGGAGTGTAATTAGGAGGGCAAATCTACTATTTTCATTAACACCTAATTTGGGGTACAAATGGAGAGAGAAAGAGTGGAAGGATAGATAAAAAAATAAAATTAATATATATTGTTATGTTTTATGTGTATAATTATGTTTTTATGATTGTTGTGACTAAAAATGTCATGTAATCATTATTTTATAATAATACTTATTATTATTATGATACTAAGAATGATTATAATAATTATTAAATAATAATTATTATAATTTTTACATTGATTCCGGGAGACATCATTTGATATACGATGAGAAAGTTTGTCAAATTGGCTTCAACTGTTTGACTCGGTCAAACAAGTGAGTCAAGATTCGTCAAGTTGAATCGAGATAGGATGGTCATTTATGGTTAAAATTAATTTGATAATGTCCGTTTCACTCCGATTTAACCATCATTTTGATAAATCAACGCTCGGGTGGGAGACATGAGCTAGTTATATGTCTTGGCCATGGATTGAGCTTCAAGCATAGTCATTCGAGGTCGCTCAACCAATTATTATTATTATGGACCCAACAAATTTATTTATGAATATTTATAATTAATTACTACTTGAGCATTAATATTTTAATTTTATTTTATTATTTTTAATTTTTAATTTTTGTAAAATATTATTATTATTTATTTCATATTTATTTATGTGTGAATATTTTATAACAATCTTTTATAAATTTGATATATCTATTTTATAATAATATAATTTACTTACTTTTCACTAATTTGCTCCCCCTACTTTTTCATCCAAATAACAATTTACTCCTCCACTTACACCCCCAAAAACTTGCACCCCCCAGCAATTTACCCCCCAACTTGTACCCCCCTCAAATTTGCACCCCCTAGTTGCCAATCACAGTATTTGTTTAGAAAAGATTGATGTGTTAGCGTCTAATTCGTATTAAGTATCGAACAATCATGAGCAATGTCCATGACGTCATATAACAACCATTGTCCAAGGTTCGGGTCGCACACATTGAAGTGGTGTGTGCCAAAATTAACAAGGTGACCCCTACTAGCTAAAAAAATCAGCAACAAAATTAGCTTCTCTAAACACATGTTCTATTCTAACATCCCAATCATGGTTCAAAAGAACATAAAATTGTCTAGCAAGAATCCCATGTCTATGGTCATCATCAAGGCAGTTCCTGGCAATGCTAATTGTCGTAGTAGAGTCCATGTTTAGAAGGACTATTCTGTGCCCTCTTTCCCAAGCAATCCTAAGGCCTTCGATCGCACCTTTGAGCTCCGCACTTGTGATGGTACACACTCTAAGATTGCAGGTGAAGGCATCCGAGCATCTCCCCAAGTGATCATGGAGAAGGCCACCTGCAGCAGCTTTTCCTGAAGGTTGGATGACTGAGCCATCCGTTTGGACCTGAATCCATCCAACATCAGGTGGCTTCCACGTAATGCTCTTAGTCTGGTACTGGTTAGGTGGTTCCCAACAGTCAAAAGTTTATTTGTATTTGGCCTAGGCAATGATATTAAGCCAAATACAGTGTTTCATCATTCCTCTGCTTCCATAGGTTCCAGCAGATGACACCAAAATTGACTCCAGTCTCTTCATGAAGAAGGTTTGAGAGGAGCCAGTCCTGGAAGCATCCATCCATGTTTCTCTTTGTCAGCATATGTCGAAAATTCTCCCAAGTCTTAGTTGCTTTCCCACATTTTCGAAGGATATAGTCAACAGTTTGATCCCTTTCCTTGCAGTGATTACAGCTACTGTCAGTGGTGATTGTCCTTCTTGCGCGTTCCTTGTTAGTGAAGAGTCTGTCATGTAGAACCTACCACAGGAAGTGTTTGATTCTGCTTGCTCCTTTCCACCTCCAAAGAGCCTTCCATCTGGTTTCTTCGCCTTCTCCATCCATGTTTACAACAAGGTAGTAAGCAGACTTGAGTCGAAACCTCCCATCCCACTCAAGTACCCAGATCATTTTATCATCTCCCAGTTCATGCCTAGGTTTCTCCATACCTGCAATCAATAGAAGTTTGTCATTAGGAAGTAAGTCATTTAGTCTAACCCAATCCCACTCACCCCCTTACGTGATCCAGCTGGCCACTGGGGATTGAATCTCCTCTTCTGTAATTTCTTTTGTCAAAAACTCTTCAAGTATCAATCCATTTTCAATCCATGGATGTCTCCAAAAGATGGTATACTCTCCATTTCTAATACTACAGCAGGATGCCTCCTTCAACAGTGGCATGGCTTTGACCATAGCTCTCCAAAGACTTGAATGGTTGGTCTTCTTTGTCAAGATGAATTCTTCATTCTTATATTTGTAGTACTTCACCCGCAAAACCTTCACCCAAAGCTCGTCCTCATTGTTAATCATCTGCCATACGAGTTTAATCATGTATGTTTTATTAAGACTGCGAGCATACCTAAGTCCTAGCCCTCCATGTTTCTTAGGCATACAGATTGTCTCCCATGACACAAGATGGGGTTTCCTTTTCCCTTCCATTGAGCCACACACAAAACCCCTAATATTTTTATCAATTAAATCACAAACAATAACAAGGATAGGGGTTGCCTGCATAACATAGGTGGGAATCGCATTCAGGACTGACAAGGCAAGAGTGACTTTCCCTGCAAGGGACAGAGTCCTTGCTTTCTAGGAAGTGTTTTTCTTATCAATTCTATCAAGGATATATTTATAAGTACTCTTGGTAATCCTGCCATGAATCACAAGAACTCTAAGGTACCTTTGAATATCAATTGTTTCTTGGATCCCAAGTCTATTACAAATATTTTGTCTATCAGCCTACTTCACATTCTTAGAGAAAAAAGTTCTAGACTTCTCTTTACTAATAAGCTCACCCGAGGCAAAAACAAAAGGACTCAAGACATTGCATCACAAAATCATCTTAAGAGAGATTAGCTTCATAAAAGAGAACAAGATCATCTGCGAAGAAAAGGTGAGACAAAGCAGGTCCACAAGGGGAAAGACACACAGGTTTCCACTTTCCATCCTTAATTTCATTATGAATGCAATGGCTAAGTCTTTCAATGCATAAAGTAAAAGGTAAGGAGAGATAGGGCATCCCTGTCTTAAACCTCGAGACGGGGAAAAGCTCTCAGTTTCACCCTCATTCCATAGCACTTGAAAGGATGTGGTTGTCACACAGGACATGATCAATCTGATATATGCAGGTGTGAGCTTCACAGCAACAATAGTTTCCTCCAGGAAGTGCCAATCAATTCTATCATAGATTTGGTGAGGTCAACTTTGAGAAGCATGCTCCCCTTCTTCCCAAGGTTTCTTGACATAGTGTGGACTGTTTCCTGCAAAATAATAACATAGTCAATGATGTGACGATTGGGAACAAAGCTTGATTGGTTGGGGTGGACAAGCTTTGGGATAAGCTTTTTCAAGTTGTTAGCAATGCTTTTGGCCACCACTTTATACCCCACACTGCACAGACTAATGGTTCTGAAGTGGTTCATAGAGAAGGGGGGCTCCACTTTGGGGATAAGAGCCAGTAGAGTCTCATTGATGTATTGGATTCTATCTGGATTGTTGAAGCATCTGGTGATGAAGTTAGCAAACTCCAGTCCTATAATGTCCCAGCATTTTTATAGAAAAGAGCATGAAAACCATCTTCCCTGGAGCTTTCCGGCCACTCATCTCCATAACAATTATCTTTATATCCATCAAGTTTGGAGTCTTTCCAACCATCCTCGGCAGGGAATCATCAACAGCAGGGAAGACAGTAGTGATTTTGATTCTATCAATGGAGGTTTCACAAGTAAACAGATGAACAAAGTGCCCCTAGCCATGTCCTAAGCTTATCAGGGTCAGAGATCTAGCTTCTTTGTTCATCCTTGAGACCAATGATCTTGTTTCTTTTTCTTCTGCTAAGGGTGCAGTTATGGAAGTAACCAGTAGTCATGTCCCCTTTAACTGTCCAGTTGACCACCCTTGCTTTTTGCCTCCTGAGAAGTTCTTCTTGCCATAAAGTTTCTTCTAATTATTCCCTAGTATCTTGCTCTTTAGACAGGGAGCTCCTCAAAGGCTTCTTCTCATTGATCATCTCTAGGGAATTCAGTGAGTTCATAAGTTCTCTCTTTCTCTTAAAGATGTTACCAAAGACCTCTTTGTTCCATTTTTCAGGTCTTTAGAAAGAGTCTTCGGAGAAGGCAGAAAGTCACAGCCTGCTTTCCAAGAGAGTTTCAGGAAAGGTTGAAACTCCTTATGCTCCAGCCAAGCAGCAATGAATTGGAATCTTCTGGCCATCTTCCTTTTACCATTAGGGGAGGAGGTAATGGTAAGAATATGTCTATGATCTGATCTCATATTGGGAAGGTGGATCACATTGGTTGTTGGGAATGTCTGTTGTCATTCCAGATCACA